AGTAGAAGTTGAACACATTGCCATTTAGACAGCTGTTATTTGGCAGAAAGTTAAAAGTGATCTTAAAGAGTAGCTTATTGGCTGGCGCACGCGAACATATGAAAACACAAGAAAATACTCGCGAAAGTGGAAGCTTAGCGATGTGCTGATCAGAAGCTCGTGCTGCACGGACCTGTCGCCTAGGCACATTGAGTGCACTGACAATCCTCCAAATTTCAATCGGTATCCCCCGCTGGTCTCACAGTTTGCGCGCACGGTTTTCATTCGGCTTCGTTCCCCACCAGTGTCAGCAATACTTCTGCACCTGTATCAATCAGTCACAGTTACTTCTTTTTGTCTATATCGAAAACGGACTGCATGGTGGACTGTGTTACAGCGCTTATCGCATCCCAGTCGGAAATAGATCAGTAATCCAATATTTTATTATATACAAGTGGTCGGGTGCAAGGACATTGATTCTTGCAGATGCACGAGATGCACCAGATGCCAGATCCTTACTCAGATGGCCATTTGCTGTTGCCAGAAGCAAGTGGGCACTAAGCACCAACTGCACCCCTTCAACAAACTTTTCAGACAACAGCTGCTGGCGCGACACTTCAATCAGTTCCGGCAAGGCTAGATCCATCGACTTCTGCATGCTGATGAAGAACACGGTCGCGTCACAACCAGGTCTCATACTGGCCGTCTTGAACCAAGTCACAGCCTCCTGGCGGTCGACAGGCTTGTCGAGCTCCGCTGGAAGAACTTACTTCGCAGGAACCCAGTCCATCTTCCAAAGGCCCAATCTAAAAGCATCCAGGGCCGCCTGTCCCTTGAATCTAAGGAGTATCTTCAGTGCCGCCAAATTACCCCAGTCGGTCTCTAGTCCAGCTGCCACAGCAACCTCCTAATCATCAACGTCGATATCAAGACATCCACTGTCGCCGCGAAGCTGTGTGCATTAATCCAGATGGTTTGTTGTGATTCGGAGATAGCGATATAATTCCACTGACTAAGCGAGCGGCCCGTCTGGCAGATTAACACTCTGGTCATCTAGGTATTTCCAAAATGAAATCCCTTGCACACTTTTAATGCTGGTGACCGGAACTGGATTCTGACATCTAATATACTGCTAAGAATTGTGTAACATGTGCACATAGGGTTCAATACAAGTCTTCACAGTTGTACCGTGACCAGTTATTTGTGAAACATTTTGACAAGTTCATGCCGACTACTGCGGTACTCTTCTCGGTAAATATTGTGTTTTAATTGTTATTGACGCATACTCACGTTGGCCTGAAGTTTTCTAACTACTTCTCCAAGTGCCGAATTCATGCAGCAAGCATTGAGGAAAGTATTCAGCCATTAAGGTGTCCCGACTGCTTTTAGTCACCGACAATGTAACACACTTAATTGCAGAATCCCTCGAGTAGTGGTTAAAGTGTGCTGGATGTCGAGATCTGTTTGCTGCGCTCCGACATCTCCAGTCGAATGGGCCAGTTGAAATTTGTGTCCGAACACCGTGATCTGTCAACACTTCTTTTTTCCTGCTTCTTTTGTGGGTTAGACCGTCCAATTGGTAATTTCATAATGCAGTACAGTAAGAGTTCTGCGCATCTATTCAGATCTTGCTCGTTTCGTACAAGTTTCGGCTGCGCTAAAACGGTTGATGTCCATAGTTGAAGGGTGGTGATTTACGACCAGCTATAGGAATGATACTTTCACGAAGTGCCAAATGAATGGTCACTATTCTTGATTTGGATGATCTCTCTTGTCACCATAGACACAATGATCCAATGGAGTTCAATACCGGTGGTCAGCCTGTCAACGACACTCCCGCTTTTTTTAAATATTAATGAGTCTTTTGTAGCTGATCTCGTGGTTTCGGAATAAAAAGTTGTATTTGAAGAACACAAAACTTGAATGCTATTCTACCAAAATGGTTCCGTAAATGTGCTTCAATCTCATCCCACCTGCTCCGTTTGTTCACCTCTTCTCAATTACACGAGTAACTGCCCTATGTGTGGCCATTTGTCTTGGGCCGCAATGGTGGCCCTTGACGTACTGCGGAATTTCTGTGGCAGGATGCTCTGAGCATCAAGCCAGAAATGCACTTTTATCCTGACTTGGTCGACCAGGGAAGCCACCCAATTCTACCTTTCTGCTCCATGTGATCATTGCAGTTGTTCCCCAACGTTCTGTTAAATCATTCTCATTCGGTCCTGCCATTTGTCAACGAATTTCGATATTACTGACCAAAAGTGAAACAACCATCCACAACTTCTAGTCAATGATGACGAATTTACTTTCCCATCATCCGTTTCTTCAATCACATTGCCACAAATTTTGTTAGCCTCGGAAGACATTCAATACGATCTCAGCAGAGTGTTCATCCCAGTCTGATGCGTTCGTCCACGTGAAGATTACCTCCCCATAAGTTTTGCGCAATACGATAAAACAGCGGACGTTCATATGTAATAAAAATAATAAATATAAATCAATCATTCAGACGTTGTACCGTGCCACCCAAGCAATTACGAGGGTTGATATACTGCCCAATTCTAGATAGGAAACGGCGAAATGCCCGGGTTGGGTCCGAACCACGAACCCTCCGACCAGTAAGTTCGCGTCTTAATCACTGAGCTATCTCGAGCTCTCTGGTGAATATGCTCTCCGATTGTTGTTCTATGGTTTTAGTTGTAAATCTAAAACCTTGGCAGGGTGGGGGCTGGACCGAGGTGCGTGAGTCGCTTGTGTTGATTTTGTAGCACGACCAGTCCGGGCGAGTTGCTCAATCTTATGTCTCCTATTAATGGAAGCAAAATACATCATTCACGTTAGTTAACCAGGAACCTAGGCAGCAGAATAACAATTCACTCTAGTTCGTCCCGGGAATTTCGATTGGGTCAAATATCATACTCCTGCATACGGTGTTCCAATCATCCTCGGGAGCGGGTGATTTCTCCTTGGGATACAAATAACGTGACGAACAATGTGCGCACCAAGAGAAGTGATATAACTCATCATTGAAGAGAATTCTGCATTTTAGTTTAGCTTACAATCCATTTGGAAGTGACCAGTATATACGAAAGATTTCTTGGGTTCTGTTGAGTCCCCAAAAAATATGTAGCCAAGAGGCGAATGAGACTATTTTATCAATCTGAAAGGCCCGAATCTTGAAGGTAACCATAGGAAGATCGGATCCTAATGGGACCCCAAATCTCCACCAAAATCTGAATATAAAACCGGCAAGCATCCAGTCAATCATTCAATTAATTCAGCAAAAGCCGACGAGCGTTCATGCACGCCACAGAAGCACGACCGAATGTGACTAGCGTTCAGTCATCTTTCAAAAGCACGATCGATATTGTTGGGTGTTCACTAAACGCCTATGAGACTAGCTGTATTATTGTTAGAAATGGCCCTTTAAATAGCGCGGGGCAGTTGTAACTTTTGCACTCGCACGCACTCGCTTGTGTACACTTATCGGTGAGTTCCTCTTGGTTCCAGGCACATGAGTTGGAAAAGGCGCTTTATATAACGGTATCGTTCCATTTAATTCACTCCGACATTTATCCAGAGACGAGGTGTAGCTGAAGAGTTCCACTGGTTAGTGGCGAAAACTTCCTTCAACCGATCGCTAAATTCCCTGTGTAACCCAAGTAATCGAATTGCCGTCATAGTTGTTTTTTGGCATGATATCAGCCTGTGATGATTTGTACGCTGTAGGATTCCAGTGGACTGCCCGGATGAAACACATTCCGTACAAAAGGAGGAAGTGGTATGACTGCTGCTCTCATAAAGACACAACACAAAAGTTATCGCGAGGAGATATGAATGATCCTTGGCTTGCTTATCGCCAATTCCTTACAGTCAGTAGAAAAATTTACCAGTTAGCGAATGGCGACGCATTTCCTGCTCCTGTTATGTAGTTGGCTGCCTCCACTAGAGTGGATGTTACCTGGTTCCAGACAGCAACCAATTCGGTGCAGTGTAGGAGTGTTTTTGTATATTGTAGATCACATTTCACATAACAATTTTCGTCGCAGTCTTTGGGTTGACAGCTCTAGTCAACCGCAAATTGAATGTCCAAAGTAGACATATATGTGGAACGTGTGAATCAAATGTCACACCAAATGTACTCGGTGGCGTTGATTCGTCTTTGACTTATTCGACCGCAACATTCTATAAGCTCGTTTCAACTGAACATCACATTCTAAGCCTATCTAGTGTAACCCCGAAAGGTGGGACCTGTAGTGAGTTGCTGAAGGTTTTTCAACAATCTTGTGGGTAGCAGGTCTTTTCAAGAACAGTCGTACAAATTTGTTACGCATCAGCCGAGTGACTAACCGTCCTCTTGTGCCGCTGGGCGTTTTATTGGTCAGCTCCTAAGCAGGCATTCTTCCTCCCGTGGTAAGTGATCTGTCCATTGTGCTGATTTTGAGCGGTACTTCGCATGCGGTTTACCCAAATTTTCTTCTTTGGAATAACTGGATAATGATTCTGGACTAGACACATCTGGCATGGAGTCGATCCCTTCCCGTCCCACGCGCAGGACACCGGCTATTTGATGAATCTGATACAACAACATCAGGCTGACAATGTGGTAAGTGAAAAGCTGCCCGAAACACACAACTCCAAATGACTACTTACCAGCTTTATTGTTAGACAATCTAAGTCACTCCCAACGACCTCATCTAAATATACGATGAATTTTCAAAGGGCTGTGTGAGAACATATTCAAAGTCGATGTGACTAAGGGTGATGATGCGTCTCTGTCACGGCTAAAGGTACCACGAGCAACATCATAAACTGAGCAGTGTTTTTGAGCCGACAGACGACACAAAATGTGTTCTACCTGTGTTGCCCGACTGGCCTATGTTTGTTCGTCCTGTGCATGAATCATGCGTTGCTACGTCAGATTTGTGGAGGCGTCTTGATGAGTTCACAAGGCCTGAGAATCCGGACGGTTTTGCCTGAACGCCTTCGGTTTCTTAACCGTATGATTTATGGATGGCTTAGTTGATGGGAAAATACATGGCAAAACACGATATGCAACAGTAAAAAATTCATTTTATTGTGGAAAAATCACACAACATGATGCGTCTTCGTTGGGAGTAGAGGTTTTGGACAGAGACGATGGAGATTTCAGCCTTCTATACAGGTTTGCGCAGCTCCTTCCGATGAACTGTGTGCTGAGCTTCATTGGGGCCACGAAGACGGAGAAATAACAATAGTCAGATAGATAGGTAGATAGAAAGATAGATTGATAGATAGATAGATAGATACATAGATAGACAGAAAAATAGATAGATAGACACGCAGGTTGATTGATTGATTGAATGTTTGTTTGACTGTCGGATAGATAGATAGAGATAGAAATATAGATAGATAGATAGATAGATAGATAAACAGANTTCGACAGATCTCAGGTAAGATGCCAGTCTATTACTGGAAACGATTGATTCACCACGCATATGGAAGTCTTAGGATCCTGCATTCCCAGCACAGGTTTGTACTAATGACTGAGAACGCTTTCAAACGAACAAGGAGGTGTGTTCGCAAGAGTTTTTTTCTAACGTCCACCAACAGTCTTCAGCATCCTCTTGAAAAATTGACCAGTATGCTAAACATTGGGGAAGATTATTATTGAGACACACTGAATGCAAGTGGATATTGGGTATATCGGAATTCTGGACATTTCGAAGCCTCTTGGTATTAAATCCTACGATACTAGAGGAGAATACGCGAGATTTTTAAGTTACGTAGCGGGGATGAGTGAAACTCTGTGAAATCTACGGACGAAAATGCGTATTAAAACTACGACCGGTTTCGCCCGTCTTGAGGCTCATCTGGTAGTGGCAGTCCCAGGTTTTCCGTCATGCTCATGTTCTACTTGAACGCGGCAGATTTTGACAAATGCTCTCGCTTGTAAACGAATTTGCTTTCGACAGGAGACAAAGTGAACCGCCACTGATGGTTCGGTTCCACTGAATTGTCATCTATTCAGCCAGGCATGTTTGTAGATCCAAGGAAGCTCCGGCAAACACTCAAGTGACAATGAGTTGTGTGCGCTGATCGAAAATTCCGGAACAGAACACGTTATTCAACAACGATTAGCCATGCCATTTACGCGATCGTTTGCTCAGTATGGGGAGGGTGAATATCAACTGACCAAAAGCAAATTCCTTTAATAAATTCTCGGGAATTTGGAAAGGACAAATGTTACTCCTCATAGCAAACGCCATCATAGCAAACGCTCTATCAGCGGAGAAAACCCATGATAGAGCGACGCCGTTACTGAATATACTGGACGATTCATGGAATCAACAATGTTATTGTGTGTTTCCGGGCATCGGTGTCCTTTCAAGCAAACCAGTTACAGGTAGAATAGAATGGGCTTCGCGAAAAAGGACTGACCTGAACGGAAAGGAACTGGAATAATCTGAACTGAACTGAACCGAACAGAACAGAACTGAACTGAACTGTACTGAACTGAACTGAACTGAAGTGAACTGAACTGAACTGAACTGAACTGAACTGAACTGAACTGAACTGAACTGAACTGAACTGAACTGAACTGAACTGAACTGAACTGAACTGAACTGAACTGAACTGAACTGAACTGAACTGAACTGAACTGAACTGAACTGAACTGAACTGAACTGAACTGAACTGAACTGAACTGAACTGAACTGAACTGAACTGAACTGAACTGAACTGAACTGAACTGAACTGAACTGAACTGAACTGAACTGAACTGAACTGAACTGAACTGAACTGAACTGAACTGAACTGAACTGAACTGAACTGAACTGAACTGAACTGAACTGAACTGAACTGAACTGAACTGAACTGAACTGAACTGAACTGAACTGAACTGAACTGAACTGAACTGAACTGAACTGAACTGAACTGAACTGAACTGAACTGAACTGAACTGAACTGAACTGAACTGAACTGAACTGAACTGAACTGAACTGAACTGAACTGAACTGAACTGAACTGAACTGAACTGAACTGAACTGAACTGAACTGAACTGAACTGAACTGAACTGAACTGAACTGAACTGAACTGAACTGAACTGAACTGAACTGAACTGAACTGAACTGAACTGAACTGAACTGAACTGAACTGAACTGAACTGAACTGAACTGAACTGAACTGAACTGAACTGAACTGAACTGAACTGAACTGAACTGAACTGAACTGAACTGAACTGAACTGAACTGAACTGAACTGAACTGAACTGAACTGAACTGAACTGAACTGAACTGAACTGAACTGAACTGAACTGAACTGAACTGAACTGAACTGAACTGAACTGAACTGAACTGAACTGAACTG